TATCAGGGGATTTTAAACTAGGTATTAGAGTGTCTTGAAATCAATAAATAAATAATGCAATGTGTGGCCTGTGGCTCACATGAACTATCCTGCTGGATTTAACAGCATGTGTCAAACAATTAAGTGTGACTTTGGGACCTGTTCTACTATTTTACCCTAGAGGCTGACACACTGTTTTCCTGAATCCAGTTCTGCTTTTTTTTTTCTTTCTCCCAATGCAGACAAGAAACTCTCATCGAGTCTGTATAACCAGTTCCACTGGTCTGTAGTCCTCATTGCTTTCTGTGCAGTAAGAGATCTAAAATTAGATTGCCCCACAACTTGCTGATGCCAGTCTCTGTGAATGCCCTCCAGTCATCTATCCCCTACCAAGGTCTTGATTCAGCTAGATATTTAAGCACATGAATCATTTTTAGTGGGATAGCTAGGTGCTTTATATTAGGCACATGCTTGAGTACTTTCCTGAATAGGGCCTGAGTTACATAGACTGTACCAGTATAGATAGGTTTATAAGCAATGTAATGTTTACAAAATTAAAGTTAAAAAGGTGCTGGGGGGTGCTTCAAAGATTTGGGCCAAATTCAGCAGTGAGTCTTAGGCTTGTGCTCACTTGATCTTCTCAGGCCTTACTGAAGAGACGTCCTTCCCCTCAAATCTTAACCAGTTTTTTAAATTTTTTCAGCTGAGCATATCAGATGTTAAAACTATTTGGAGACCTAGTGTAAAGATTTCCTGTAGAATGAGACTCACATTCCTTATATCTTGTTGAGCCCCACTTCTGGATGGACACGTTTCTCCTGCTTTCCACACAACACCTCTACAGTTGAATCTAACTCTCCAAATCCAGAAGTTTCACAATAAAAAATACGATTTTAGTCTTCAGTTACAACTGAAACAGCATCTGTATTTTCCATGCCTGCCCTTGATTATGAGAAAGCTTGAGGGCACTTGTTTTATTTCAGTAGCACCATATTGAAATGTGCAAATTAATGCATGACACAGATGTGGACTTTAGGTTATCAATAGATGCAAGCCAGCTTTTTTCTCATTTTCATTTTTCTTCAGTAAATGACAGGTTTTACAGTTGGCTGTCAATTAAAAAGATATCTAGGTTTTTCAGCTTCAGGAAAACAAGAGACAACTGTAAAAAAACCCCAAACACTCCATCATCTGTGTCCCCATAGTAAGTGGAATCCCTTAGTTTTTATCTGTAGTCCACAGGTACAAATTATTTGAAATACAAAGTTCAGTCATAGATCCTCCATCAATAAATTAATCCTGCTCCCCACTGGTACAAAGGGACCCAAATGCAGCAGAATTTAACACAGGGAAGAGTTGCAGACAAACAAGGCAAGGGATGCTCAAAAGCCTTCTGGTCTTTCTGAAGCAATGAGGAAGGGAGTGCGTGGGAGACAGGTCTTGGGGGATTGGTGATACAGCCTGTTGTTCCACAACTATGTGCTGAACAGCTGCAAACTCCTGAAGGAGCAGACTAGGTGACAATGAAGATGCTGCAGTCATCAGATCACACTACTGGTTTTCCATGCTGAGGGGGAAAGGGAGTGATCTCTGCACCCATAGCTCACTGTGCAAATTTGTTGTGTAAATTCTGTTATAGATGCCTATTATAGAGTCATACAGGACTGCCTATTAATAAGGTGACACATTTTGTACATATCCTTTTTTCCAGTTGTTTTTAATTTTACCAAACTTTAATTTGGGCTGAAATGTCCTCTGCCATGGGCTGTCTCAAACCAGAACTTTTTTATTTCTGGAAGGTTTCAGACATAACCGTTTAGCCATTTCCAATCACACTGCAGTGGAAAAATACATATTTTGTCCACATTAAAAAAAAATTCTGGTGACCTTTTGGAACCTCTCTACCAGTTCCCCAGTTTGGTACAAACACACTTTAAGTCTTAGGGAGTGGTCTATGAGGCTGACATAGGCCTTTGCCTATTCCTTTAAAAAAATCTGCCCAATTTTGTTCAAGGTAAAAATCTTTGCAAAACTGAATTTTGCAAATACTCATTGGGGACTTTTTAGTTTAATTGCTAAAAGACCACAGGTTCTGTTTTCACTACACATGGTCTAACCCAGGGGTAGGCAACTTTTTTTGGCCGGAATGCCAAAAAACAAAATGAGGGCAGGGGGTACATGGCAGGATGCCCTGCTTGTACCTCTTGCCCCCCACCCAAGGACCCACTGGCAAAGCATGGCTCCATACAGACAGCTTACCATCTCAAGTAGCAGTACCTTCAGGCATGCTAAACTGCTCTGGGAAGACTGCCTCTTGAACTGGAAGCCACATAACTGACAACTTTGGCCTAGCACTGCTGAATGATGGCAACAGGTAGCTTGTCCCAAAGCTAATAAGCCCATCCACACAGTGGCACAAAGGCAGATACTATGTTTCTGATTTAAGAGGCATCATACCAGCATCAGTATCCTCGAGGGTACTGCCAGCAAGACCAGTGAGTTTACTGTGTATATAGACATGGCTAATGTGCCTCATCCCTCTCTAGCACTGGGCCACAAAGAGAATGACAACCAAATATTGTCATTAGTTACATCATTAGATCAAATGGCAAAGGTCTATATGATGGATCAACCATGCAGATGAAATGTGCATGTCCACACAATGCCATGTGATGGGTTTTCTGTTTTTCTTCAGATTGCTTTTTTAAAAACTGAAGCAATTGTATTTATTTCATGTTATAGACACTGCATTATAGAATGTGCACAAGGGAGCCAAATTAAAGTTACAAAGGTACCTTACTTCTGACATTCCATTAATTTAGTGCTGAATTTTGCAAACCCATAATATTTTCAACAACATTTGTACACAGTAAATTATGTAGGCTTGCCATTGTTAGTGATGTATTTTTATGTTTACTTTTACAGTAAATTAAAGAGAGTTGTGGGCTTTTCTGTACAGTCAGACTCAGAAGTGGAAATCATGACTAAATATATTTAAACACTTTCAGTCAGTTATTCATTCCTTGATACATTTATGTATCAAGAGAACCAAAATTATTTCAGTTGGCCTAATAAAGATACAGATTTACCCAAAAAACCTTGTCTGCCTACATCCTTAGACCAACACAGCTACAACCTATACCCCTATAATGAGTGTTAATAACACTTAACTGTTAATTGTAAAATTAATAAGAGTCTTGACTGAGAAAGGACAGAGATTTGGAGCCAGATCCTGCAACTGCTACCCATATTTAAGGAATAAAGACTACAGAATTGGATCTCTGGCTCAATGACTCCCATAATGGGGAGTCCATCATGTCTGTGTTGCAGCAATGTAGGAAAGGAAATGCTTTTATGACCATGTTGCAATGCTGACCTGAATTGGATCAATACATTTACTTAACATGCAGTTCTCAAAATCCAGT